CGATTGTCAACAATTGAAACCAAAAGGGACTGAGGCTTCTTTTGGAACTACTGTGATAACTGCAACAATTCTTTTTATTATTTCAATTTTGTTTAGCAGGGTGACAGTTAATGTACTTGTTTTTGTATTGCGTGTTGTGTTTTTTCATACGATGCGTCGGGATTTTGCTTTATCAGCAAGTTTTGTGTTAGTGTTTTGATGGCAGCGAGGTGACGACAAGAGAAGCTAATGAGCTAGTTGTACAGAAGGAAAATTGTGTTGTGGAGGAAATAAAAGAAGTTGATCTCGTCGTTGGAAATTTATTTATAACAGAACTTACAATTTCATTGGTTTAAACCAGGTTAGTCCATTATATTTTCGGCATGACAAATTACCATAAAATCGAGATTGTAATTCGAAACTCGCGTTGTTTTCAAAATTTGCATAAATCGGCCGCTGCAAAGAAATATTTAGGTTACATGTGCTTCGAAATCCCGGGGGGGGGGGCACTTGGGTATTTTTTGGGTGGGTATGTGCCGCCCGGGACTCCAAATTGGCACCCCATTCTAAAAAAAAATTTCTCTAAAATTGATACCCCGTTCTAGAAATGGGCCAATTTTTTATACCCCGTTCTAGTATTCGCCCTAAAACTTATACCCCGTTCTAGAAAGTTTGTAAATTGACATAGCCCTGTTTTTTCAAAAAGATATGTCTTTATTTGTTCGACTTATACATCAAATAAATGCTTCTTCATAATCAGTAACAATTTTAAGCAGAAGATAAAGCCGTGATCCACAATTTTTTATATCCCGTTCTAGAAAACGCCTCTGAAATGGATACCCCGTTCTAAATCAGGAGCTTCAAAATCACGTCCCCGTTGGGCGGCACATACCCGTATAGGTAATGTATGGGAGTACCCCCCGGTTCGAAATACTGTACCTTCAGAGCGGCATATCTTTTACTTGTTGTGCTATATCTTTCAAAACTATCGATCGATTTTAGCTCAAAACTCTCAAAGCAGCGGTTTAAATGTTAAAGCCCGTGGCTGGTTGAAATCGTCTCTTGTTTGTTTTCAAACGATTTAGGATGGATCGAACCGACTTTGGATCGATTATTATTTTATCAGCTTGTGGTATGAACGAAACCTTTTCCTTCTCGATTAAGTTCACTCAACGAATTTAGAAAGATTCACTTGACTTTTCATATGTGGAACAAACTGACTTTTTTGTGGAACGAACTGACTATTTTATGGAACGATCTGACTACTGATTGGAACGATCTGACTTGGAATTAACGATGTCAACGATCTGACCATGGAACAAAATGACCGGTTACCGTCATGCCACTAGCAGACTACCAATGAACAAATTAAAATCTTTGTTACAGAAAACACGGAAAGTGACACTTTTTGTATGGAAGAGTATTCGGAAAAATACACCATTGTCGTCTGAAATTCATCGTTACGTTAAAAGTAGAAAAGGTTTACACTTTAACAGGTACAGAAGTAACAGTAACAGTGTGAGGTTTTTACTTAAGGGACAACTACAAAACTAGTTCGTAAACGAGGGAAGGTGTATCTGTCGTCCAAGCAGCAGATCACAGGCGATTTAGGTGGAATGAGATATCCAAATAGGCTTCTAAGTAAGAATTTGCCCCTCTGTACATGTAATTATCCATTTTATAGTGCTTAAAACAGTTTGAATCACCGGGTTAATACACCGTATTCAGAAATGGCGGACACGCGGGAAAAAACTGGTGCCTAGTCATGAAAGCGAGGCGTTGGAGGGTAAACAAAAATTGCAAATGAAGACTTTCAGTGAACTTGCAGAGTGTTTAGCACGGATTCCACGTAAAACAACTTTGTATGGACGTCTTTTTAAATGCAATGACGTGGGACGTCTTCTGCTGTTAATGTTTAGTACTGATTTGCTGTTTGCAATCAAAAGGGACGCGTATATCTTCAAGGAAACAGGATGATTTTGTAGGTTGCCGAAGCCTCGGAAGCTCGACAAGTGGGCGATGGCTGGAGAAAAGCGTCAAATTCGTTGGCCCAAACTTCACGCTGAAACCGAATACGAAAGCCAGCTCACTGCAATTCCGCAATACAGAATTAAAAACAGATATTGGTGGCAAGAAGAAAAGAAATAAGCGACGGATATATGGCCTGCTTGTCAACGGAAGAGACCTCCGCCATTACACAAAACAGGTCAAGTAGAGAGCGGGTGAAAGATTCATTCACGAGACTCTTTCATTCATGTCAGTGTCATTTTATACATATCTATGTATGTCTGTATTTACAACTTCCTTTGGATGATATTAATTCCGTCGCTTTGGAGTGAATTGTTAGAGGTACGTTGGCAGAGCTTAGCAAAAAATCTTTTGATTTCTTTGTCATTGCCAAATAAAATAATTTTATAAAAACTAGAAGCTCTAGTGTGTGAATCTTATGGCTTGCTATTTGCCTGGTCTCCTTTAGGGCATTATCTCGGAGAGCTCACGGTAAAAAAGTGGTATAAAGCTCACATTTTACTAGGTTAAACTTTTATGGCAATGTTTGTGTCAGGACTGAACACGGCAAGCTTCTGTTTCGAATCATTCAATTCGAGTCTGGATCCGTTGAAGAAGACAATCATTTTATTTATTTATGTATTGTTCACTTTTAAAATGTTATGGAACATGAAGTTAAAACTCTTAACAGCAAAAGATAAGAAATAGGAAAATTACTCGCTGAAATGATATGTGGCCGGCTTACCGAGTCTGCCGAGTAAAAAGTTGAAATTTTGAGCGTACTCCACTCGATCGCTCCCGCATTTATACTAAAAAAATAGTTCTAATTGATGTCCTTCATCGATAAACACCAGAGAATAACGTCCTGGCAAACAAAAACCAAACATAATTTCATCGAAACCTCAGTCACCGCTTCTTTCCTGTCTTCCTTTTTTCCATCTCGACTTGAACTGTTTTGTTCAATGGTACACGTCTCTTGCATTAACAAGTAGGCCATATATTTGTCGCTTATTTCTTTTTTTCTTGCCACCAAGATTTGCATTGTTTATATTTCTGTTTTACCGAATTGCAGAGAGCTGGCTTTCGAACTCGGTTTCAGTGTGAAGTTTGGGCAAACATGTTTGCCGCTTTTCTCCAGCCATCGCCCACTTGTCGATCTTCGGAAACCTACAAAATCATCCTGTTTCCTTGAAGATATACGCGTCCCTTTTGATTGCAAACAGCAAATCAATACTAAAAATTAAAAGCAGAAGACATCCCACGTAATTGTATATAAAAAGAAGTCCGTACAAAGTTATTTTTGGTGGAATCCGTGCTAAACACTCTGCAAGTTCACTGAAAGTCTTCATTTGCAATTTTTGTTTACCCTCCAACGCCTCGCTTTCATGACTAGGCACCAGTTTTTTCCCGCCTTTCCGCCATTTGTGAATACGGTGTATTTTGGCCAATTTCTAAGCTTTGTACTGATATAGAAAAGAATCCAGGGCCGTCAGTTTATGTAGATGCTACAAAAACAATTAATACTCCATACTGTCAAGGAAATGTTACAGGATTTGGGGAAAATGGTGGACAACGATGTGTCGCAATGAGTCTGTGCGCTTTAATTTACAGTAGGATAACAAAGATGACTTCAGTTGATGATATGACTCAAATAATGATTGTTGGTATTCAATTATATTCTTGTCTGTCACTGCTTGTAAGACAATCTATGTCAACGTTAACAGAATTGCCAGGAATGGTTACAGTGTTTGAGCAATTTTTCCACCTTGAATACAGTGACAGTTATACTTGTAACATACATCACCACTGTATATGCCGCTCACAGGTTACAGTATTTCAAACACTCTTGGCACTGAACTACAACTCATTCATTTTAACGGTGGCAATTATTGGTGTTGGTATGTACAGCACTAAGGCTGGGGTATATAATGTATTTGATTCTCATGCTAGAGATATGTATCATAACAGTCATAGTGAAGGGACAAGTGTATTGTTGGAAATACCATCAATGCATAAATTAGTACAATATTTTCAGACTCTGCATAGGAATGAGGATATATATGAACTTAAAGGTGTACATATTGCCGCCTTTGAACCTCATCTTTTCTCAAGCAATGTTGAAAATTGTAGTATATCAAATGTTAATAGTTACCAATGTTCCTGTAAACACTGCTGCCCGTAGCAGTTTATGCAATGTGTTACTGTCTTATTATTCCTTGTGGATACTGGACTTAAGGAACTTTATTTGCCCTTGTTAGTAACCGGAATACACTATGCAAAGTTATGGGTGTGAAAACACATCTGTCAGTATCAGTGGAGCTGAGATAAACCTTACTCTCCGGGCTGTAAACACTGATGTCCTATGTTGCAATTTGGCTCCAAGCATGTCTGCATTGAAGATGTGTATATTTTCAAACACTGTCGTGAAATGACACTATTTTTGTTGTGGATTGAGACATACTGTATTAGCTGTGTGGTTCAGCAAACAAGTGGAGAAAAGGATTTGTCTTCTCTGGTAAGAGATGATGACAGTTCTTTAGCTGCAATAAGGCACGTTCAAAGTATCATACCCGTAGTACGACCACGCCCAATAATATAATAATATAATAATATACTAAACCCAATGTACGATTTCAGTATTTTAAAAGTTATGACCGTTTGTAGCAACGCATATGCGAGCTAATACGATATTTTCAGATTTAGCGTAACGGATCTATCTCAAGCAGATATTGTCAAAAGTACGGCTTACCTAATTCATTACTGGCACTGACTCACTAAGTGAGCCATATTCCAATCCCTGAGGTGCCGGACTCCATAAAATTCCAGTAAATGTGCTTTAGAAACTGCTGGTATGCGGGCATTTTTGAATCCCATGCTAACAATCCTAAGCTCAAGACAGATGAAACTGTGTCACGTTTCGAGCTAAATAGCGCGGTAAAACAACCGTTCAGAGGTGAAAGTTTTCTCGAGAATCAGAAAATCAACTAGGCAGGTCTCATTTTGGATCAGAAAATTGAGATTTCAGTGCTACAGCCTCGAATAAACCTTCGATTCAAGCGGCTCTGCAAGGTCAAATGCAGGTTGACACGTAAACCGGAAATGCGGAAATCCGGATCATCCGGAAATTTTCAGTTTTCAAGACGTGCAAAATGGCCGTGGCGGGACAAAATACTCGGCGCCCCCCTAGCGCGGCCAGAAAATTATTGTGAATCAAAGCAAACCTATTTTAGTTATAGTCTTGATAAAGCCTTTCACTTGCCAGAGTTTCAGGCAAAATTATTTTTCACTCGAAATTGAGTGGGCGGTTTTTACTGAGACAGCCTCTTAAGGAAGGATACGGTTACGCCAGAAGAGTGCCAATCATGATAATTGGGCAAGCTCGGACAGGGAAGACAAGTCTAAAGAAGTCTTTAAAGGGGGAATTGTTCAATCCAAATGAAGGAGGCACTGAAGTTATCGAGACAGATCCTTCCTATTTTAAAGTCACGACAGACGTCTGGAGGGCAGGCAGTAATAGCGAAGATACTGAAACAGAGCCAGAATTTTTGTTAGACCGCCAGGTAGCCCAGAATATAGCCAAAGGCTTAAACGAGGAAGAACGTTTAGGGGATCCTAGTACAAGCAAGACCAAGCTATCAGTTAAATATTTCATAAGTAGTCGAGCGATCGGAAGTGAATTCACCGCCTACTGAACGAGTTTCCAAAGTAGTCGAGAATGCCCAAGCCCCTCCATTACGTACAGAAGTTTCCGTAGAACCAGAGGAACCCAAATCCAGTTCATCGGTTACAGAGCAGAGTGAGAGCGATCCATCACCTCAAGACTCCAAAGATCATCAAAAAGTACCAGAAAACGTAGCAGCATTGATTCAAGAGCTGCTTAAAGATAACAAAACGTTTATGGAGAGAGACATGTATTCTGTCCTTTGGGATTTTGGAGGACAGTCGGTTTTCTTCGACACCCATCCAGTTTTTTGACAGAAAAGGCCATCTGCATTTTGGCTTATGATCTCAGTCGTCATCCTTATCAGAAAGCCGACGCTCCTGTGAAACAAGGCATGTACGAGGATATAGAAGACACTGACGACCAGAAACCAAACTTCGACTACCTTGATTTTTGGATGTCATCAATTTATTCTTTGGTCAGTAAAAATACTAACCGTCGGAAAACTTCGTCGCCTGAAATGTTATCTCCAGTTTTCTTGACGAACCTTGAACTAAGAAAGGTAATCCCTTCAAAGAAATCTATGGAGCTTTGAAAGACAAGATTTATCGCGATCTCTTCAAAGGCTTTTTTGTTATAGACAACACGAAGTCAGGCAGCAATAATGAGTGCCAAGGCGTGAAAAAATTGAGCTTGGTTAAAGTATGAAAAGGTTCTGTATTTTTTGATGAGCAAGGGCCGCGCGAGGATATCTATCGAGGAGACACGACAGATAGCCTCAGATGAATGGGGGATTGACAACGATGTGAAATTTCGAACAGTATTTTTCTTCTTACAAAATCAGAAAGGTTTGATTAATTTTAATGAATTACCGGAATTGAAAAGCGTGGTAATTTTGAACCCACAGTGGCTTGCAGACGTGTTCAAGGAAGTAATCACGTTCAAAAGTTTCAGTCTCTCGGAGAACAGCGTTGAAAGTTTCAATACCACGGAGAACAGCGGTGAAAGACTGTGGAAAGATTTTGAGATGACTGGAATCTTAGATAGAAAGGTTTTAGATCATGCATGGGGACGCTTCATTAATGACCATGAAACCTGCAAGAGCCTCCTGCTATAATGGAGAGATTTAGTCTGCTTTGTCTATGGCCATCAGAAGGGACCACAGAGCGGTATCTTGTACCATAATGTTGAGGTCTTCCCCAAAGGTGATGTTCTTGACCTCCTTGCTTCTGCCCAAATATCTTCACTTTTTGTGAGGTTTGAATCACGCAGAGTGCCTCCAGGCCTGTTTTCACGACTTATTCTCCTTTTTTATAAGTGGAGCCTAGAAAGATGGATGAGCCCTATCAAGCCTGTGCTCTTCAATAACGTTGCCTTGTTTCACATCCGTCCTCATAATGCCACTTCCCTCGGCTTACTGTGCCATTCCTCGTCCATTGAGATAGTTTTGTGTGTTGGAGATGGTTTAGCTCTTGCTGACGAGGCAAGCTTTAGCTTTGCACTAAAAAAAAAACACACTGAGCATCCTTTGCATCTAATTTTGACCAAATGCAACTTAGTCTACCTTTTTATGAACAGCTTGTTTTTTTTGTAATTTGTTTACCCACGGAGCACCAAGGAGTTCACAAAAACTCGTTGAAACGTGTCCGTGCGTTCCAGATCGAATTGGAATTTGAAAGTGTTGGTTGTTCAGGAGGGGGGAAAACCGGAGTGCCCGGAGAAAAACCTCTCGGAGGAAGGGAGAGAACCAACAACAAACTCAACCCACATATGGTGTCGACGCCAGGATTTGAACCCGGGCCACACTGGTGGGAGGTGAGTACTTTCACCGCTGCGCCACCCTTGCCTTGGATTGTCCATTAAGAGAGGGAGTCAGTTCCCTTATTAGCAACAATTCGTCCACTAACCACAACAGCCCAGCTGCAAAGCCACTCTTGTTTTCCTAATTGCTTACTGAAGATAGAATAATTTGAAGAGGTTAGGGGGAAAATATGAGACTTTCGTACGCAGTGTATGTTTTCTGGATTGCTGATTAGGGAGAAAAGGCCACAAAAGTTTTCTGGCGTTTTCCGTTGAACAAAAATTCCGGTTTGAAATTTCGGACATTCTGCGTGTCCAGTGGAGGGAAAGATACATTCCTGTTGCACAGACCTGACCCAGGCCAGCGTGCGTTTCGCGCGTTTGCTCATGCAAATACAAACACAACAATAAAAATAAAACAGAAATCGCCATAGAAATGGCAAACTCATTCATCCAATCATTCTAAACTCATCGACCTCGATTGTTCAGCGTGGATGCATAGAAAAGATAAGTGTGCTATTTTATACTCAGATATGGAGGCCCGATTTTTACAGATCTTCACCAATGTGCGCCATAGTGAGCAACAAGTTCGACAACATATCGATCCAAAGGTCAATTCCGAAATGATCCGTTGATTTCTGATCAAAATTGCGGGAAATATGGGCTATAGCTTGTTGATTGATGCCAATGGGCCATTTACAAAAAGTTTCTGAAAAATTCCGTTTGAAAGTGAATGGAACTGACGACTTTTCGGGTCGTTTTAGTGGGAAATTTCCAGGATCAAGGAAACGTCTGAAAAGGCAGTCCTGTTTTTCCTAATGGAATGTTCCAAACGGAAATTCGTGTTTCATGTTTCTTCAAAGCCATGTTTGGTACCAGTGCTTTTCAGATTTTTGTGCCCTTGTTGCGATGAGTGGAATTGATTTGTTCAAATGGTAAACGCGATTCCGGGACGAAATTTACTAGTTCTGAATTTTGCATGACATTTGTGCAAACCGTGAACCAACCAGTTTGCCCATGCAAATAGTAAACAACCAAAGTTTCCCACATGTAGATGCTTTTATAGTTTTCTTGAGTTGAATTGATAACAGATATTAAGGACGGTGCCCACTATTGTTACTGCGCACATTTTCTGCGCATGCCAAGGTAGTCGTGTGCGACGCGAAAGAAATGCGCAACACGCAGGACACGCGGACTGGTTTTGTCTCCTGTAAGTCTGGGAGGTTCTAGTTATTTAACAGATGAAAAATAATTTCTATTTACTTTGTCAGTTCTTTGAAAACCGAAGAAGTATGCGCATGTTGCTATTTCTGCCGTATGATCGATCTGACCAAACATTTTATAGTCAAACAATAGTCAATTCTAAAACATGAAAAGTTATTGCTTCGAGATGTTACACTTGGAGCTTGGGTATTAAACAATCCCTTAATAGGCAAGGATCAGTAAATCAGAGGGAAAATAGCTCTAAGTCCTCCGCTTAATCGAGGACTGCAAGCTTACCTTTTACTCGCGTCCTCCGCGTTTTATCGGCCAATCGGCTATAAACATTTTCCCGAGTATTTCTTTAATTTTGTAAGATTTCATGTAATTATTCACCAGAAGATAGACTTCAAGCGTTCGAGTACATACAGATGTCCCTTTTATTGAGAGTCCGAGGCGTTTATTTGTCGAACAAACAAGGAAAAAATTATCACAAGATTGTTTGGATTGCTGAGATGGCAGCTTCACAATAGTTGCGGACCGCAAAGGAAACGCTTTCGTCGTGGAAAAAATCGTAAAAAATTGTTATGCATTGTTATTTAAGCATTTTGGCAGTAGTAAGCATTAAACTTATTGACTCATTGGGCAGTTTGTCTTGTAGATAGTATTTCTTAAGGTTCAATTTCACGCCACACATAATCTGGACATTTAGACCTAGCTGCCATTAGGCTGTTTACAAACTAAAGATGGAAGGTAAATAAAGTATTTCCATTCTAAGACTTTCTTAGGTTTAACAGACACTGTTAAGTCTAAAATTAACATTTAGGAACGAAAAATAGTGAATGAACATGACACAGAATGCTACAGTAAAAAAAATCAAAATGAAATATATGAAATGATCATTATAGCCCAGTTTATATATGACGGTACATTAACGCATTCGGTATAACTACTTTCGCAGTATTCAGCTTTTTTAAAAGCAATCTCATGATCATGTATGGAACTTCAGTCTATATATGCAAATCATTTATGTCATGTGAAACTTGTGGCAAATCCCGAAAGAGATAGCACACAAAGCACAGATATAAGCTCATTGAATGCATGCAAGTTTAATAACATATTCGATCGAGGAATGATCGAGGTACCCGGTAAAATGATAGAAAACGATAGAAGGTTTACAATCCATATTACATCTACAGTTCAAAAAATCTTGAGGACATGAACAGGAAAGCAAACGATTTAAGGAGTACCTGTCTAAGAATCTCTCACAGGAAAAAATAACCAGTTCCCTAATTGGGAACTTAATGGGTCTTTATTTAATCCCCAACAAAATCCCAACCTCTGTGATGGTTG